GGGCCCCCAGCCTGCCTCCCCCCTCTTCTCTCCTCGGGGGTCCCAGCCTGCCTGCCCCCTGCCATCCCTCCCCAGGGGGGTCCAGCCTGCCCGCCCCCCGGGTCAGCACCTACTCTCCCTTCCCGGGCAGGTGGGGACCGAGTTCACCACGATCCTGTACAACTTCATGTGCAACAGCAGCTGCGTGGGAGGAATGAACAGGAGGCCCATCCTCATCATCATCACCCTGGAGACGAGAGAGTGAGTGGCCGTGGGAGCAGGGACAGGCACCCCGGAAGGGCTGGGGTCCCTCGGGAAGGAGCCCCCCACCACAGGGAGCACCTCCAGGGCAAGGGGACATGGCAGCCCCAGCCCACAGCCAGGAAAAGGCTTGGAGAGGGGGAGGATGGGGTGGACAGTCTGCAGCTGGAGCCTTCCTCTGCCCCAGGAGCTCCTCTTCCCCCAGGAGACTGCTGCTGAGGGGCTCCCCGTGCCCGGGACTGGATTGCTTCTTGAGGGATCCATTGGTACAGAGGGATGGGAAGGCACTTTGCCAGTCTGGTTTCCCAGCTGGACCAGAAGATGCTGGAGTGAGCTGTGATGCTCTTCCCGAGCAGAAATAGCCATGGATTTCCCCTCTCCTCCCAGTGGCCAGGTCCTAGGAAGGAGATCGTTCGAGGGACGGATCTGTGCCTGTCCCGGCAGAGACCGGAAAGCCGACGAGGACCATTACCGAGAGCAGCAAGCCCTGAATGAGAGCGCAGCTAAAAACGGCAACGCCAACAAACGCGGTGAGTGCCTTGGCCGGGGGAGGGGCTGAGGGCATGGCCCTGCCGCAGTGCCAGGCTCCCAGCCGGCCCCTGCATCCCTTCGCTGCTCAAAGCCCCATTCCCGTCACACACAAACTCACAGTGTTCCAATTCCGGCTCAAAGCTACATCCAGGCACGACGCTTTGACCTGTCTGGACTAAATATAAAGTCTCATAAATGGGACCTGCTCCCCTCTCCCTCCAGAGCACAAGGCACAGGGCTTTCCTGTCCACATTTATTCGTTCTTCATTGTTACAACTAATAAAGGGACAACAGCAAAGCCCAAGCCCGGCTGAGCATCCTGCATGGCTCGAGCTTAAATCCTGCAGGGAGCCAAGGTGCTCCCTGCTATGCCATAGAATCATGGAATGGTTTGGGTCAGAAGGGACCTTAAAGCCCATCCTGTCCCACCCCCTGCCATGGGCAGGGACACCTTCCACTAGCCCAGGTTGCTCCAAGCCTCATCCAGCCTGGCCTTGGACACTCCCAGGGATGGGGCATCCACAGCTTCTCTGGGCAACCTGTCCCAGTGCCTCCCACACTCTCCGGGAAGGATTCCGTCCTGATGTCCCATCTCAATCTCCCCCTTTCCGTTTAAACCCGTTATCCCTTGTCCTGTCGCTCCCTGCCCTTGTAAAAAGTCCCCCCCAGCTTCCTTGTAGCCCCCCTCGGCACTGGAAGGTGCTGTAAGGTCTCCTTGGAACCTTCCCTTCTCCAGGCTGAACCCCCCCAGCCCTCCCAAGGGCAGCACAAAGTCACACTCTTCCTCTCTCCTTTCCAGCCTTCAAGCAGAGCCCCCAGGGAATCCCAGCGCTGGGGGCCGGCATCAAGAAACGGAGGCACGGGGAGGAGGAGATGTATTACGTGCCCGTAAGCGTCATGGGTCACACGGGTCGATTGCTGGGCTGGGGACAGTGGTGGCACGGTCCCCTCTGCAAGGGGGTTGCAGTGTGGGGCAGGACAGGGTCACACGGTGTCCCCGGGGGCAGCAGGCTCAGGGGCTGAGCAAAGACCTGGAGAAGAGGAGAAAAGCATCCATAAACGCCCGTGTCCGAGGGAATCCTGGATCCCCAAGTAGCCCCTGGCTGCAGCGACGCTGCACCTTGTGCACCTGGGTGGAAAAAAGGGGGCAGGAGGGAGGTGGCCAGGCAGGGGGAACAAAGCAAAGCCCTTTCTTCCCCCTGACAAGGTGCGTGGCCGGGAGAACTTCGAGATCCTGATGAAGATCAAGGAGAGCCTGGAGCTGGTGGAGCTGGTCCCGCAGCAGCTGGTTGACTCCTACCGCCAGCAGCAGCAGCAGCTCCTGCAGAGACAGTAAGTGCCCCCCCCGGGGGGAGACTCCTGGAAGGGGCAGGGGGGGCTCCATTCTGCCCGTGGAGGCTCACGGCCGTTTGCCTTCCCCCGAGCAGGAGTCAGCTGCAGACGCCTTCCTCCTACGGCCCCGTCCTCTCGCCCATGAACAAAGCTCACGGCGCAGGGATGAACAAGCTGCCCTCAGTCAACCAGCTGGTAGGGCAGCCGGCACAGCACGGCTCCGGCTCTGCGCCCGGCCTGGCCCCCATGGGTAAGGCCCTTGTTGCGGTGCCACCGGCACCAGTCCTGGCTTGCCGGGGCTCTTCTCCCATCCTCCCCTGGGAGGTTATCCCGGCTGGCCGGGGCTCCTCTTGCGCATCCTCCCCCCTGGGGAGGTTATCCCGGATGGGACGATGTCTAACGGGTCTATTTGACGTGGCTGCTGCCTAGGAGCTGGAATGCTGAACAGTCACTCCATGCAACCCAACGGAGAAATGAACGGGGGCCACTCCTCCCAGTCCATGGTCTCCGGATCACACTGCACCCCCCCTCCGCCCTACAACCCCGATCCCAGCCTCGTCAGGTAGGGAAGGCGCCTGATGCTCTGTCTGTCTTGTCCGCTGGCGTTTCTGGCTGTTGTCCCTCACTCTAACCTTCGGAATTCTCTAGCAACTGGTCAACTGGCCACTGGTCCCAACTGAGAAATCACTGCTCCTAAAATCACGTAGAGCCTTCTCCTCGGCTCAGAAACCAGCCAGAAATCCCTGTTGCCCTCACAGATCTCTGTCTGGGTAATCATTCCCTTAATTAAAAATTAAACGCAGCCCAGTGAGTCTTTTCCTGCATGTCGAGCTGACACTTGGTTTTGTAAACTTCCCTCTTCTCCCTCCTCTCCCCAGTGAGTCTGGAAAGGGGTCCCCGTGGCTTCTTTCCACCCGGAACACCTTAACAGTTCTGCAGCTGCTTTTTAAGCTTTCAGGCTTTAAAAAGACCCCGGAGGTCTGGGCAGACACCCCAGCGAAGTCAGGGAGCCCCGTTTCACCGGAGGCGTGTAGCTGCAGCCCAGCGTGATGGGCAAAATACCCCTGGGAGCCCCTCGCCGAGCCCGGCCTCGCTCCACCTGGCTGCTCCAGCTCCCTCGGGGTATTCCGAGTCACTTACTCAAGCCCAAACCATGGAAGATCAGGAGGAAACCCGCAGCATTAGGGACGGAGATAGTCCCACGCGTGGCTTTGATGCGGAGGTGACACGGGAAGGCAGCAGGACCCCCCGCGCAGCCCAGAGCGAGCCCGCTCCCTCCCACAGCTCCTCTGTCTCGCGGGGGTGTGGGAGCAGGGGCTCACCGCAGCCCCCCCACCCCACCTTTTGGTGACCCAAAACACGGTGTGCCGCCCCAGCGATGGTTGCGAGCGCAGCTTTGGTACGGGAGAAGTTAATGCCACTTGATTGTCCCAATTTTTTCTGCAGTTTTTTAACAGGATTGGGGTGTCCAAACTGCATCGACTATTTCACCTCACAAGGGTTACAGAATATTTACCACCTGCAGAACCTATCCATAGAGGTAAATGCTTTGGGAAGATCGGTTCTTACCACTCGTTTCTGGCAGCTGTTGATCTGAAAAGCAAGGACAAAGCCGTTTTTAAGGAAAGGGAAAACTCTCCACCCACCTGCCAGGCAGAACACGTGCTCCCCAGGATTCGTGCCTTCCATTTACGCATCCTCCCGGTCCTTCGCCTTTAGCAGCAGGTCACTCATCGGCAGCAACCAGGAAAGCCTCAAATCGGTTCTCCCCGACCCTCAGAAACCAAAGAGCCAAGAGACCACGGGTAGATTTTTCCCCCTCACACAGAAAAACCAGCCGAGGTGCTCAGCAAAGGAACCCCCAGCACCCCGAGGGCGGGGGAACACCCCAGCTGCCATGCAGCCCGTTTCAAACCTGATCTTACCTCTCCCCCTGTTAATTTTTTAAGACAAAAGAGGCTGAAATAAGGGAATCAAGCCCGGGGCGTTGGTATCAAGGGAATCCCAGAAGGAAATAGCCCCTGTTAGGCAAAAGCTGGTGTGAAAACCAGCAAGGGGATGCACCTGAGTAGAACACCGGAGCTTGCACGGAGCATCATCCCTGAGCTGCCACTATTCCCAGTTAAAGTGATGCTACCGAGGGTGACACTGAGGCAGGGGCTTCCCCAGCCCATCAGGGTAACGAGGAGGGAAATAATAGTAATAATTAAAACCTCTTAGCCCCTTCAGAGCCATAGCAATCCCTCCAAACCCCGTTTCGGTGGAGACAATCTCCTGCCCCGACCCAGTTTTGCCCCGGGCAGGCTGTAGTAGCCGCGGTGGAAGCCAGCCCACGCGCTGGCGACGCAGCTTGTGGAGAGACGATGGTTTGTCAGTGGTAGCTGGGGCCAGTTGCGTAACCGTAGCCTGGTTTTTGGGCCGTTTTCTGAACTAACCCCGTGACCGCCTGTAAGCTGTCGAAGGAAATGTTTGGTGCGGCCAAGACCTGCCCGCGAGCGCCGAGCTGCGCGTGCGAGTCGGCGTGTGTCGTTACTAATTGCATACTCGCTGTCCTCTCCGGTTAACACTCCTGAGTCTCTGTGTTTGCCATTAACACGGATCTCTGGCAGCTCTCCGCTACGAGGGTGTCCATCCTCCCGCAGGCCATCCCCAGCTGGAGGTTATCCACCTCCTTCGGCTTTACAGCCAGAGCCCGTGGCGCTGGACCAGATGCTGTTGCCCACTTTGGGGTGTTAGTGCCTGGCGCCGGCTCCACAGGGAATGGGGCTGGCTCTCCAGAGCCCCCGGGGGCAGGTGGTACCCAGATAGGCGGGCTCCAGCATCCCGGTCGAGGACTGGAGCAGGAGCCAGCCCGGCTGATGTCTGCTGGCCTGGGGATGCCTCATGCTGGTCTGCAGAGCGGGGCAAGGTCCCCCTTACGCGTTTCACATCAGTGATGTGAACCCACCCCCCTCCCAAAAACCAATTTCTAACCAGTTGGTCACCTGCCCGTTGGTTAGAAATGAGAAATGGCCCAAGGGGACGCATCCCTGACCCAGGGGAGGCCCAGACCCGCCACCGCCGGGTGCTCAGGCATCGTGGTCCCCCCCACCCCACCCCAAAGGGGATCGCCCTCACTGGTACAGTCGCATCCTGCCACCGCTGGCTCTGCCTCAGCGTTGTCCTTCTTCCAGGATCTCGGAGCACTGAAGATCCCGGAGCAG